TATAGATATCGATTCGAGCGAACATGAAAGCGATATCGAGAAAATTGATGTAGAGGAAAGCGCCAACATTTTTTGTGCAACATTTATCCGCATTATACAGGGTGCTTTTAAATGAAGTAGCAAAAATGGTACCAGTGAATGTAGAACCAAGAATAAGAGGATCGAAGTAAAAATACCTTATATGAAAGTTGCACCCCTGAGGCAATATACCCTCTTAAAGAAGGGGATTAAAATTCACATTTTAATTTTTTTCTTTAACATGAGGAATGTTAGAGACACTAAACATGGTATGAGCATCCTACTAATAAAGAGACAACTTTTCAATATTTGTTCTATCATTGGCGTATTTTATAAAGGAGTGAAACAGTCAACCCAATTGTAATATTTTATTAGAAATTTTTTATATAAAGCAAATTATTTATTTAAAAATATTGATTGGGAAGATTGATTTATTGGGCAATGTTTTTACCTCTTGTAATTTTTCGATAGCACCGATAGTTTTCTATTAAAAAATTGATGCGTCGTCTTTCAATAAAGAGGTAATTACGAAAAATATAAAAAGTAGGATGTCATAACAAATAAATTGTTATTTATCATATTAATAAATTGACACTTTCTGTCAATAAGCTGGTAATTTAATAATAACATTAAGAATAATTTACTATTAATTAATGAAAAATGTTTAACGTTTAATGTTTATTTAACTGAAATAAAATTTAATACAAACGCAAAACAAGAAAAGCAAAATTAAATTTAAAGAATATTCTCGAAATAATTTCCATTTTGCTGCAACCATAACCTAATACGTCTGTTGAACTTATAACGCACTCACACAAACAGTTTTTGGTTATTGCGAAAGTCATCTGCTGCCTGAAATATTCTTAAGCGTAGTTCTTCTAAGGAGGCAACAGGAGTGGCATAAACAATACTTTTTATGTGTCCCCACAAAAAGAAATCCATAGGCGTTAGGTCAGGTGAACGTGCAGGCCAACAAACAGGAGCATCACGACCAATCCAGCGATTCGGGTAATTTAAATTTAACCATTCTCTAACGGCAGGTGAACTATGTGCAGGCGCCCCATCGTGCATATACCACATCACCTGACGTGTAGCGAGGAGTACATCCTCAAGTAATGTTGGAAGATTTTAATTCAAAAATCTAAGATACTCGGCCGCTCCAAGCCTGTGCGGAAGAATAAAAGGACCTGCTAGAGTACTTCCTACAATTCCCATCCAAACGTTTATAGTGAAATTATGTTGACATCTTGAAACAAATATTTCTTGAGTATTTTCTTCCGACCATGAATGAACATTATGAAGGTTTACTGCACCTACTCTAGGAAAATTTGCTCCATCGGTGAAAAGTATATTCATTAGGAAATTTAAGTTGTGCCTGGAAATATTAATGTACCATTGACAAAAATCCACACGGTTAGGTAAATCAGGGTCATTCAATTCTTGCACGGGTTGATGGTGTAAAGGGTATAAAAGATTTTCATGAGCTACATTCCACGCAAGACTGTGAGAAGCTTGCAGTTGCCTGACACCTGTCTTGTGCTTCTACCACAGTCTTGCTCCAGATGTTCCAGTATAGCTTCCTCAGTTTCAACAGTTCGGACATTACGCCTTCTTCCGGCGATTGGACTGAATTTTACCAGTTTCGCGAAGCCTTCTTTCCACCGAGGCCAATGTTTGTCTATGAGGAATCGGTCGGTTTGGGTATCTTTGGTGGTATAATCTTACTGCATCGTTACTATTTTTGTGGATTCGAAAAACACTTGAAGCATTCGTCATTGGTATGTAAATATTAATTGCCAATTATTCTGATAATAATTTAATCAATTGGTACTAATAATTGGTTGACAGAAAGTGTCAATTCATTAATATGATAAATAACAGTTTATTTGTTATGATATCCGCCTACTTTATTTTGACAAATTTTCGCAATTACCCCATTAGTGAACGATGACGCATCTAATTTTTTTACTAGAAAACTATCGGTTTTATCGAAAAATTACAAGAGGTAAAAATGTTGCGCAATAAATCAGTCTTATTTATAAATATTTTTAAATAAATAATTTGCTTCATATAAAAACTTTATAAAAATATATTGCTATTGACTGTTTCACTCCTTTATAAAATACGCCATTGATCGAACAAATATTGAAAAGTTGTCTTTATTAGTAGGATGCATATACCAAGTTTTGTGTCTCTAGCATTCCTCATGTTAAAGAAAAAAATTAAAATGTGAATTTCAATCCCCTCCTTTAAGAGGGTATATCGCCTCAGGGGTGCAACTTTCATATAAGGTATTTTTACTTCAATCCTCTTATTTTTGGCTCTACATTCACTGATACCATTTTTGCTACTTCATTTAATGACACCCTGTATATCTTGTCGCCCATACAATAAAATCGTATATTTGTTTACTGAGTAACAATGAACAAATTTGTACAATTTAATTTTTGCAAAAAACCTTCACTTTTTTATTCTACGAAAGCTTAAATTTCACAAAATCATATATGTGCATAATATTAACGATTAAATACAAACTAATACTAATAACTAATAACTAAAATGTACCTCGGGCTCTCGGACTATTACTATAACTATACATAAAAGATATCTGCTTAAACATTAAGTTAAAACAGTAGTAGACATGAAGTACAAAAACATCGTCTAAAGATGACTAATCATTTTGGAGAGAAGTAATTATGCATTGATTTATGCATAAATCACATAAAGTTTAATATAATTAATATTTACATGAACGTACTTTTTCAATGCCTTTATTATTATTATTATTATTATTATTATTATTATTATTAATGTTTCAAATTTTTTTAGATAAAATATTAAACAATTTTGGGTCAAAATAAGTGAACAACAACAACATTTTATCAATGACAACTATGTCATTGATAAAATATTACGAAAATGATATATTATGTATTTGGACAAAATTTAGGAAAAAAACCAGTTTTGACCCATATTTGAACCAGTTTTCACCACAATAGTGAATTTTCTGAGAAATACAGAGGCATCAAAATACTACGAAAATGATATATTTGGTCAAAATTTAAGAAAAATTCAGTTTTACCCATATTTGGGGGTTTTTACCGAAAATTTCACTTTTGTTGTCTGAAGTTACCTATTTATTTGTGGCACGGTATTCGTTTTTTTTTTCTTTATTTTTTGGGTATTTTGCCATCTGTTGAAAAATTTAAAAAAAAAATAGTAAAATAAACCCTTGCACCAAATGGATCAATTTAGGGTTATTTTAATGAAAATAGTTTTATCAAGCTAAAAAGTCTCGCAATGAAAAATTAATTAATATCGCGCACATCAAAAAGGTCGTTAATGATTCAAAAATCCACAGTAAATTTTCGGAACCTTACTATTAGTATTATATTTTGATCATTATACAAAAACTGTATCACGAACTAATCTATAGATTCAGTTTTATTAAAACTTATAGGACCTTCTTTTCAAACATTCTCCGTTTTCTGTGCACTTTAGAAATACGTTTAATTAACTTGAACAATTGAGCAATGATCTAATTAAATAAGTTGCTATCGGAGTACTCCGCGATATCAGGGAAGCAATTTCAAAATAATGCCTTCCTTCCGCTTTCGATAAGACCTGATGAAGCAATTAATGGTCATTGTTTTTATATCATTCGCTCTCTATTAAAAAAATCGTGAGATTTGACAATTGACCTTGTCCGTTAAACAGGAAGCTTTTAGTTAATGTTATTATTAATTAATACCATTGGATCAACTAATACATTTAGAGAAATATATCATACTTTTTAAGTAAAGGAACGAACATTAGAGTTGTTAGCTTCTGTTTTACTAAAAATATTTTTTCTAATTATTTAGTTAAATTTAGTTCAATTAATTGGAAGATCACTGATAGATGAAATTTTTTTGTTAATTAAAAATCAATAAATCGGTAAATCTGTATTATTTTGGCAAACAAATTTTTTTGTTAGTGTTCTTCTTCTTCTTTACAGCTTCCACTGATATATCCTCCCGACGGACAGACTAAAATCAAGTCCATCAAAAATTCATTTTTGATTTAAAAAAAGTTTTGTTATATTACATGTTTGAAGAATTCCTGCTTTTTCAACAACAGTATGAATATTCTGATATAAATTGATTTGCGGGAGATGTGTATTGAACGAGCGTGGTGTGATACCTGTAGTTGTAACAATAATAAATTTTTGTTTCTAAATTCTTTCTATTTCTATTTCCAGTTCTTGATATTTTTCTTTCTTTTCTAAGTATTAAATTTTAGTCAAATGTTACTGCTATATCAATTTTATAACTGACCTTTTCGATTTTATCCTGAAATGTTATTTCCGGTCTGTTATGTGCGATTGTTTTGTCAATCCGTATAGTCAGGTCCCAATATAATTTATAATATTTATTAATACTGTTTGTAGTGTGTATATATACCTAATATAGATTTTTGACTTTTTGCAGTTGTGTAATGCTATTGCTTGATGTATAGTTTTAGTTATTGTATTATGCCTATTTGTATACTCAACACCTGCCAATAGTTTGCAACCCATTATTATTATGACTTTTTGACTGATCCTGTATACATAATTTTTCTTTATTGTAACAGATTTTAAAAAACCCTAAAACGTTTGTGTCTTATGATTTTCCATTGGCAAGTGTAAAATATTCAGTTGCAGGGTATTATGACCTTTCTGTAGAAATGTTCGATCTTTATTTATTTGTTCCTGATTAATATTATTATAGTGTCATGAAGCGGTTTGGATGACCAATTTATTTTCATTTGTTCTACTGAATTGAAGACGAAAGACTGTTCTTACGTTAATAGGTTTAGAGGTGTGCAATTTTTATTTTTATTTATTATATTTTTTTTTGTTTCATTTATTTATTTTTATTATTATTATTATCATTATTATCATTATTATTACTATTATTAAATTTCATATTTTTAAAATAAATGGCCGTGTAAATCCAACATACATTATTCAAAATATACATTCAGTATTTTTTATTATTGCTTCAGAAGATACATACAAGTAAAATGTAATCCATTGTATAATCTAACTTGTTTTTTTTTTCTGATCCACCATATTTTAAGGCTGAATTCTGAAACAAGAAAAATATATTAAATTCTATTAAAAAAATATTATTAAATCATTTACTAAAATAAAATTTTAAATTTTTCTGTTGTCGTGTAGATATCATCCAATTTCATGTCATGTGAACTTTTCTCTATTTGTTTTTTACTATTCTAAGCCTTCAAAATGTTTAACTCATTTTTTACACCTTCTATGAAATGTTATTTATTTTTTGAATAAACGAATATTTAATAGACGAATTTAGGACCATCCTGTATTTGTAGAAAAGAAAGACTGTGCAACTTGTTTTTTTTTCTAATGCGTTAAACGCTGACTCTTACCTAACATCTATCAGACCAGCAGGTAAATTCACATCACTAACTTGCGTAGAATTAATTTTTTCTAACAATTTATAGCAATCCGTGGGCCAAGATATTTCGCAAATAAAGTATAGTTGTCTTGTACAATTCACGTCATTCCACTTAAGCTCATCCTTGTTTATTTTAGTCTCCACGCACTGCTCGTTGTACTCTTTGGCGTTGTTGGGTTCACCAGGAAACCAGTTATTGAAAGAGAATGGCCTACCAGTAGACATCCATACCCACGTCTTACCATCTGGCAGTCGAGATCCCGAAGTCCAGAACCGCTCAGTAGACAGTCCTGGAATTCAAATATAAGACGAATAGTAAATAATAATGTATTAGATGGGTAGGTAAACCAACATTAGACCCAGCGTAAACTTTGGTTTTAGATATTAACTACACAATTTCACTCAAATTTCATTCAATTTTACTCAATGATGTATCAATTTCTGTCCACACCCGATTGAGTGAAATTTTCGCTCTATTAGTATGAGTACAACTGAGTGAAACTAATGCATCAGAAATGAGTGAGCTTTACTCAAATCCGAGTTACTGCTATCAATTGAGTGATTTTTGACTCTATTCTAAGTAGGTATATAAAACCAATTTAGAATTGATTTTTTCTCTGTAATATGATTTAAAGGACCCCGCACAAACCTTATGGAAAATGGCTTTCGGTCAAAATGGCTGAAATTGAAATATGATTTAGCTCTCACCTTCCTGAGCAAAAGTTGTCATGGGCCCAAAGCGATCCTATGTGTCGGTGTATGTATATCTCCTTTTCTCCGTATACAGGGTGGTCCGAATTTTATGCAGGAAACTTCGAGGGCAGATAGATCTCTTTAAAATAATATGTGTTTGCCTTATAAACATAGGTCTGGAACGGCACCGTTTTAGAGATACGGGGTGTTGAACTTGTCAAAAAAATTGATTTTCCGGAATCTATTAACCGATCTCAATAAAATTTGGTACATATAATGTATGATAGTAGGCCTTATATTTCCTGAAATATGAGCTTTAAAGGTTCAACCAGTGATGTACAACTGGACAGGGGTCACGCCCTTTTTTACAAAAAAACCTACGCCACTGCATTTTTTACATGTCGTTGTAACTGATTTATATTTTATGCACAAAATACGTAAAAAAGGTGACTTTAATTTTTTCCCTAAGATTCGCCGTTCTCAAGTTATTCATACCAATACATTCCCCTTGTGGCAGACACTTCTAACGATAATATTACAAGAATATTTGTTTATGTTTAAAAGTAAGTGCAATTTGTAAGCACATCAACAAAATTATTTACACTCCTTTCTACACCACCTGTGTTAAAACCTCAACACCCTGTATCTCTAAAACGGGGCCGTTCCAGACCTATGTTTATAAGGCAAACACATATTATTTTAAAGAGATCTATCTACCCTCGAAGTTTCCTGCATAAAATTCGGACCACCCTGTATACAGGGTGAGTCAGTTTTTTGTAGACAAACTTTAGCAGGAGATAGAACACATGTTTTTAAAAAGAAAAATATGTCGTAGAAGGCTTCGTTTTCGAGATCGGGGTGTTGAATATAATTGTTTTTTCTCGAATATTCATTATAACTTGTAAACGAATGCTTAGATTTTTTTCATGTTTGGGAGATAATGCCTATTAATTAAGGGGCATAAAGCAAGCGATAAAAATGTTCAAAAACTTGCACAGTGGCGGAGTGGAGGAGGTGCTCAACCGCTTTCTTAAACAGAACTTCTACGCCAATTACTATTTTTTAAAAAAACTGTTATTTTCGTTATCTACATATAGTTTAACAAATATAATGTCCATTCTTCTGTCTCGAAATTCCTGTGCGTTTCCGAGTTATTTTGATTTTTAGTGTTTGTTGTGGTACTAAATTAAGTAATTTATTTATTATCAATTATAATTATAAATATTTAATTCTTTCATCGAAACCTACCTAAATATGGTTTGTTAAGGATTTTAAAAAGCCGAAATATCTTATTCTTTATCTCTTTCCAATGTAGTCAAAATAAATATTTGTTATATCAAGCTATACTCAAATACAAGACTTTTATAAGTTGAAATATGTTACATTACATACATACAATACATTATTGTGCAGTTGCCAAAAAGTTTTAAGAAGTTGATAATTAAATATTGTTATAAATTCAAAAAATTTCTCCATAAACATTAACATCATTCAATTTTTTTTTGTAATTTAGTTGCAGTATTTAAGCTGCACATGATAAATAAGGATTGTTAAAATTAGTGTATTAGACAGATTTCAACTTATAAAAGTCTTGTATTTAAGTATGGCTTGATATAACAAACATTTATTTTGACTACATTGGAAACATATAAAGAATAAGAGATTTCGGCTTTTTAGAATCCTTAACAAACCATATTTGGGTAGGTTTCGTTGAAAGAATTAAATATTTAGCCGATAATTGGTAATAAATAAATTAATTTAGTACCACATCAAACACTAAAAATCAAAATAACTCGGAATCGCACAGGAATTTCGAAACAGAAGAACGGACATTATTTTTATTAAACTGTATGTAGATAATGAAAATAACAGTTTTTTTTTAATAGTCATTGACGTAGAAGTTCTGTTTAGGAAAGGGGTTGAGCACCCCCTCCACTCCGCCACTGTGCAAGTTTTTGAACATTCTTATCGCTTGTTTTATGTCCTTTAATTAATAGGCATTATCCCCCGAACATGAAAAAAATCTAAGCATTGGTTTATGTTATAATGAAAATTCGAAAAAAAAAATTATATTCAACACCCTGTTTCTCGGAAACGAAGCCTTCTACGACATATGTTTATAGGAACTTTTCTTTTTAAAAACATGTGTTCTATATCCTGTTAAAGTTTGTCTACAAAAAACCGACTCACCCTGCACATACGGAGAAAGGGAGATATACATACACATATCCTGCACTTCAGCAAAGTGCTATGAAATCGTTAGCTTCAAAGCTCTCTATTTTTAAACTTACACATAATAGGATCGCTTTGGGCCCATGACAACTTTTGCTCAGGAATGTGAGAGCTATATCATATTTCAATTTCAGCCATTTTGACCGAATGCCATTTTCCATAAGGTTTGTGCGGGGTCTTTTAACTATTATTGAGTCATTTTTTACTCGGACTTGGTTTACATTCTCTTTAAATTTTAATTTAAATAACATTGTATTAAAGTCATAAACTAGTAAGCTGCCTCAGTGGTTTACATAGATCTGTTTTAGGGACAATATTTTAGGTCTCGATTAGAGGAATTGGTGAACTGATCGGACGAATAGATTGCCACAACCTATATTGTACTTAACAAATACGTAATTATAAATAGCAATGTAACTATCCTTTTAGTTAAGCAAATATTAATCGAGACAATATATTGTCTTTAATTATTATTGTAATTAAATCATTGCGTGTAAATACAATTTTCGCTAGAATAACTAGATAAATCGATACTTGTCCAACTCCAAAGCACACCATACGCCATACTGCCATCCACCACGCCACGATCATGAGATAACCGAATGGGGCGATGGGAACAGACAGAGACAATGAATGCATCTGGGTATGAAAAAGGGTGGGATCACTCAGTAATGAGGACATTTACTCTAATAGTTTTAGTTTAAATATAATCACAAATGAGTAAAATAATCAAAATGCCCAATATTGCACTCAAGGGGTTCACTCCGAACCTTTATGGCTTTAACTCACACCGATTTTGTTAATGAAAAGTTACTCTAATTGTAGCAGTGATATGAAAACGTATCAAATAGTATTATAATTAATTGCTGTGATAAAAAATACTGCCAGAAAATAGTGTCAGATAGTTAAAAACTTAAAATTTAATTCGATTGGTCCAAATAAAACTATAATCATATGACGAAAAGTGGGAGATATCTCGTAAACAGAACAAGATAATCAAATTCTGAGTGACAGTGTTTTTTATAACTGTTTAGATGACGCCACAGTCTAAACGTTCCTGAGATATTTCAATCTAAATATATTTATTAAGCTCTGAAATTATTAACTTCTTTTTTAAAAATAATTTTTGTCATAAGTGCTTCATATTATATTTTCCTAGTTAAACTAGCAATTAAAGTTTTATTTAACTTTAGGTTTGCTCAGACATTACTATATCTTTAGACTTTATTGTTTGCTTTTTGAACTTTTATCATGTACTTTTTTATTTTTATCAGCATTCTTTAACTTAACTAAAAGAACTGTTGAACACGCTATAACATTTTTGCGTGAGAAATTGTTTGAGGTCAATTATCTTAGAAACAATCCTAAATAAAATGAAGATATTTCTTCTAATACTTACATTATTGAACAATTTTAATATTTCAGCCATATGCGTTTTCCTATTATATTTTAATCTCCTTTATGAATAATTATTTATTACTAGATAATGTTGGTGTAATTCAAAGCTAGTCGGGACATGTAACCGATGTAGTTGTTGCCGTAAAATCAACAGATAGAAATATTGTCTATAGGGTCAGATATCTTTTGCATACCTAAATTTCTGATGTAGAAGAACATTGTCTTCATTTAATAAGACTTTTTAGAAAACTTCGTAAACTACGAAAATATATAATCTGCTACATTAGTTTTTCAACAAGTTCATAAAAATTTAATTATTTTACGAAACCGCGAAATGAACAAATAATCTTAAATAAATATAGAGATAGAAATTTATTTGAAAATTAACCTTTTTTAGTCAAGTTCTACACACTTTAATTAATTCTTATCAATTTTTTTCGTGGTGCGATCGGAGTGATTTTGATGTCGTTGTGTAGGCTGGACCTTTTTGCGACGAATAGAAGTAGTCCAGGCATTCCACGATTATGGGGGTGGTAAGAGGAAGAAATATAATGAAGTGTTTCATTTTGGGTATGTTTAAATGTACTATAAGTGAACTTAGCGTAAAAGTTGTTTTAAATGGCACATAGGGTAGGAAGTGAATTTTTGTGTGGATGAGCATATTAATATAAGGTTTTCAAAGGAAAAAAATGGTAATATTTGTAACAATGGTAGTGTTGTTGATATGTGTAGTTGGGGTGACTTTAGTGTTTTCAGGGTTGTTTTGTGTTCAGAGGGTAGGTGATATAGGGTAGTGTCTTTTAAGTTTTATCGTAGCTACATTGAGCTACAAGGCTATTCTTAATTTTCGGGAAAATGTACAAAACATGATATTTTAAAATACCTACATGCCATGACAAAAATAAAATAATGCTGACTTTATTTTACTATGTTCTCAGTTCTGTTGTCATTTGTAACAAATACATAAATAAATAAATTTATTTATATAAGAGTGATAAGGGATTTTATTGTATCTATGACAACTACTTCATTTCTAATATATTAGAAGTTTCGTTTGTAATGAGTTGAGTAAATTTTACTTAAATATAATATTTATAGATAAAAGCCTCTGAAAAGTGATATGAATACTTTTGCCTAGACAACTTAATTTGATAGGAATTTCGAAAAAACTAGAATTAATTTGAGTTCGGTTATTTTCAGTCACATACAAAAAGTTTGACTGGTTATCACTGCACGAATGTGACATAATAGTTGCCGCAGAATAGACTTCAATTTAGTAACAGTACTTCATTTGTAAAATAACAAATTGCTTTATACTTCGATCGCTTTGATTTGATTTCACCCTACATACAACAAAAACTCAAAATTAAAAATATGTATACCTACGGATCAATATGTTCCTAAATCAATTTGTGACTAAGTAAAAAACAGTACTTGCCCATTTTAATAACATTTTGCCCTAAGAAGTCATTCTCTTCTGCCGATGTTATGCTCAACAGTTGCATCCCATGATATCTACAGAATTGTTCGGCTTGGAAGTAGCTTCCCTGTGGCAAAAAATAGATAACTATAATTATTACCCACGAAGTCAATTATAAGACTCACGTTCACGTTGGAAGAATGGAAAACAAAGTATTTATATCGGGTGTCCCAGAATTTAAGCAAGATTTAAAAGTTTTCGCCATTTGTACGGTAAAGTGTTTGGCAATGAAAAAAAAATACAGTTCAGAGTCATCAAAACTAGAGCGCCATGCGAAAGAACAATGTGTTTTCATTGTTGAGTAATATTTTTAAAATAATGAAGATTTGGCAGCTACAGTTTGCAATTTTCATTAAAATATGATCGGGTAATTTAACTTCATCAATTGTGAAGAGAATAATTGAAAAGTTCGGGGAGAATGGATCAATTAGTGATCTTAAACACTCTGGTCGTCCTTCAACAAGTCGTTCAACACAAAACAACGAAGCAGTTCGTGAGAGTGTTGCTGAGAGTCCAGGAACATCAATTCGGTACCGTGGTCAAGAATTGGACATTCCGAGAAGCTCTCTGCAGCGTATTCTCAAGAAAGATTTGCATCTTCATTCTTACAAAGTTCAGTTGACTCAAGAACTGATTGAAACTTACTGACTACGCAGAGCGAAAAGAGCTCGTTAAATGAATTCTGGATCAATAAGTGGATGCTGATTTTTTTAACAAAATCTTCTTCAGCGATGAGGCACATTTGCATCTTGATGGCTTCGTTAATAGACAAAATTGTCGCATTTGAGATTCAGAAAATCTACGAGTGATTGTTGAGAAACAAATGCATCCACAACGTGTGACTGTTTGGTGCGGATTTCGAGTGTGGAGGCATCATCAGACCATTCTTCTTCGTAAATGTGGCTCGTCAGGCAATAACAATTAATAGTGCTCTCTATCGCGATATGGTAATTCAGTCTTGTGTATCTAAACTGCAAAATATGGATATAGACGATATGTGGTTTCAACAAGACGGTGCCACATGCCATACAGCCAGAGAAATAATTCAATCACTGCATGAGTCATTTCCTGGTTGTGTAATTTCCCATTTTGGTGATTATAATTGGCTGTCCAGATCATGCGATTTAACGTCATTGTCCTTTTTCTTTGGGGATTTTTGAAGTCTAAGATTTATACCAACAAGCCCACGACCACCCATGCCTTGAATAGGAACATTAAGCCCTGTATTAATGAAATGCAGCCACATTTATGCAAAACAGTCATGGCAAATGTCGACAAAAGAGCCGTGGAGGCCATTTACCTCCATATGCTACTCCATACATAACCTTCTACTGCATACTTTATTAATTAAAAAATATACATTTTTTTATTAAAAACTTGTGTTTTCTATCAAAATTATTTCTTTCGTGAATTTTGGGACACCGTGCACTTTTACAATTTATACTTTAATGAAATAGGAATCATTTCGTAATTCTATAAAGTTATGGAATTCAAATTTTTGCTTACCTTAAATATTATTCCCAAATAGTAACTTTTGTGATCAAATTCTAGTAGAGGAAGTCTTGGTGCCCTTTCTCCTTTTAGCGTCTCAAACCAGTCTCAAAAACAGGATAATGTAAGTATAGCATTTAAAATAACTTAATTTAAATAATAATTAATTTTTTTTTAACGTTCTAGAAAGCACTACTGACTTTGTGACTTAATACGATAATAATATCTATAAGCATTATGACAAAATTAAATTATCTTACTCGAGCAGTGAATTCAGTAAACTCATTTTCTACCATAGTTTACTTAAAACTCTAACATAAATTGGTGTAAACTTTTTCTATTTTGTTTGTCAGTACATCAAAAATATTAATTTACAAACGTGTTTCATATATTTTATTTGTATTTCCTTTGAAATTTAGGAGCAATAGCTAAGAATTGTCTAATAATTGCAAAATAACAGTTTTCAAACTGATACCTGTTTCAATTTTTGCTGTAAGGATTATTGGCACAAGAATTACACTGAACACAGATAGAACTCGTAAGCCAAACATTCTGTATTGAACTTTTCCTTGGCAGTTAATAATTTAAGTTCAAGTTATAACAGAACGGCATGGGAGCTGTAGTGAAGTGGGGATACCGTTTTTAAGTGAAGATTCAAAATAGTGTACGAGGTAGAAGCATTTTAAGACATGTAATTTACCTAAAGACGTCTAACCGGTAGACCTTGACGTTATTTATTATTAAAACTGTAATGATATGAGAATATTCAACTCTCAGGTCATTAAAAACGGCAGATAGATATAATAAGTTCGTGAAACACGATTGGAAACATAATATGTTTGTAGGTTGCTACAGGTGTTTACTAGCGACAAAATGTAGCTGAACACATCTACTAATTTGTTTGATTTGCAGTAATGATTTTGGATTATAGAAAACACTGAGTGTTAGGTATAGATTAAAATTAAGTTTGCAACAATATTCAAAATTCTTTGTCGCCTTTTGTTTCCTTCGGCAGTAACATAAACTAATGGAAATAAATTTTTTTAGCTAATGCTATTGTGGGAAACAGCTAGCACTCCGCAGATTAAAGCTCTATCCAGCATTGAATTACCCTCACAATATCTAGTAAACAGCTAAGGTATTCGTCAGTAGTGTAACTTGAGGGGTTGTTTCTTTATCCATCGTTACGAACAGTATCATCGACATCTATTTGCGAAAGGGAGCTCATAAATTATCATGTATACTTGAATTAAGATGCGTGGGAACTCAGAAATGTTGAAATGAATTTCTCACGTAGTGTTTAATCCTTGGTTTGGCTACACACCACTTTAGGGGTCACTTAAGTTAAAGAGAACAAGAAAACGCTTAGAACTTCTTAAGAAAGGTTTTTAATAGCAATGTATAAAATTGAAACAAACAAAACATCTATAACACAACATATTCAAATAAACAATATCAATTACTATTTCGCATGCATAACGTGTTTTCCAAGATTTAGGGAATCGCGGATACATGACAAAATTTGGTATCAAGATATTACCCATTTATAAATTAATCCCGAGAAAGTTTAATAGACCAGACAGTGTGGAAACCCAAGGAGTTTTGTTATCATCTTATTTATCAGTTAAAACCTTTAAGGACAAAGAGGGTGTCTCCCTCTTTATGCCTTAGGTACTCGTTATCTTGTCGATTGACTCCCCCTCCTGAATCTTGGGAACGCTCTAGGAATGATTTTGCTATTTCATCTTAATAATTAACATGACAAAACTGAAATTAAATATAGGTAACCCTATTAATTGCCTTCCTTCGCCGTAACCCTGTTGCTACTTTGGAATTCCTTCGCTTTTTCTGTATGAACTATCAAATATTGATTTTTCCTTTACCATGGACAAAGTCGACGTCCGATGTACGGTAACAGATGCCCGCCAGATGGCAACAACGTTTTAAAGTTTTCTTCAAAATGCTTTCTAATTTCTACGATGTCCTTTTTCTAAGTGGCAGTGACAACTAAGTCTTGTAAATTTATTGATTTTGGTTATAAGGCAAAAACAATGAGATGAAACCTTTCAATTACTTTATCTGGCGACTCATCAAGATGCTATTTATTACCATGTGAATAGATTCCAAACCTTTCCGAAACTGACAAATATATTATCAGGCGTTCTGGTTTTTGTTACAGTAGAATCACCAAGCATGATCGGTTTAGAACTTATCAGCTCTCATCAGTATGCCAGAAGTGAGATGACCGATGCAAGATCAAACTGTTTGGATGTTTATGTATCGACATGTTTTCGATATAGGTGGATATAATCCATAAAGTACGTCATATTTAATTGTCGCTGCTACTAAATGCCTATTGGCACAAAGCCTTACTGCTGATAGATATGATTTAGTAATGGTGGCTGTCATATAAAAAAATCTGATTGACTACCAGGATCACAACCATTAAGAGATCACGTAGTATGTTTTAAATCTGGGAAAACCTCTCAAGGATCATAACCAGTGACTGATACCTTTTAGCTCAATGGTTTGTTTATTTTTTTTTTTACTTTTTTCACAGATAAATTTAAAGATGAGACATTTATTTTTAAGAAAAATTCTTTGCAAAGAGCTAACTTAAGGACCTCATGCTACAAGTTTTGAAATGTTCCCAGCATTTAGTTTTAAATGTGGATATTTCTTAAAACTTAGGCAATTAACTTAATACATATAAAATATGATCGATAAATGTTAAACTTTTCTGAGTGTACACGCAGTTAAATATGTACATATTTAATACTGTTTGATATGAATGCTGCCTGCAATGGGTTTTCCTCTCAGTAAACCGTTCCAGATTCGTTAAAGCTAAATGCATATAAAATTCAGTGTACATTCTCGTATACCTCAGTTTTCCCTCCAAATATCTATATCACAAAGGCGGCTTAGTGTAAACTTTCCAGACTGACAGAGTTGGAAAGTTCCTTCACAGTCTGTAAACTATTAAATCTCTAACTATCGTCACTCGCTTTAAATTGAATATCTCAAGTTCCGATAATTTCAGAAAATTCCACACATTTCATGTTCTCCTCCAACTTCAGCATAGAAATAACTAACACAAATTTTAGTTTCAACTAAATATACATTATTGTTATATCAAAACATTATGCATTGGAAGTATGTAAAATTATTTTACTCTATTTCTTTTTGTGAAAATTAAAATAATGCAGGTAACGCATATTTTTTATGGTAATCCGAAAAATTCAATAGAAATAATTATAGTATGATACAAAGTAGCCACACATAAAGCGAGATATTTGAAAAACCATCACAAAAAGTGAATACAAAGACCTTTTCTCAAATTATACTTCATTTTTCCGCTGAACGACTGAACGAATAATAACCCGAGGGTGCCCAATTTATAACATATGAGGTTTACTAACCTCTAGAGAGGTAATTTCGATTGTTCTCATAATAAAACTCGTTATATAAAAAAAAGGGAGAGAGAAGTCTTAAGAAAAATAAGACAGAACTATAAATTGAAATCGAGAAGTTAAAAATTTAAAAATATGTGTTGTAAAAACAAATTTTATATCTTCAAGACATCAACAAGATTGTGTGCAATGGTTTTTGAACCGGTCTATGCATATAATTTGTAATCCATTAAATAATTTCTTATACAGCGTGATGATAAAGTTTGGAACAAAATTCATAACTTTTATACTGAGTGATTTTTGAAAAAACGCCGAGACAGGTCGATTTTGTTCTCGGGTGGGGCATCTTTTAAGATGATTCAGTTGTGTACAGGGTGACCCAGAAAAGTTGGACGGCCAATAAATTTGTTTTTTCTTATCGAACACCCTGTATATTTTTTCACATTCGGATAAAGCTTTCTCTTACGAATAAGGTTACGAGGTTTGAGTAAGGTTTGATGGGTCCATCTCAAATAACATGCGAAATATTGCGAGAAAATGACATTTATTTAAAAAAATTATTTAATGTTTAGCCGTTTAAATAGAATGTGGCATTGTCAGAAAAAATTATGCTACCTAGAAAGTTTGGATTTTCATCACACCGTAACATTAATTGTTCACAAAAGTGCAACCGGCGGTCTGGGTCAACCTTATTTAATTCGTGTATCAGCTGGACTTTATATCCACGATACTTTTCTATAGGAAGCAACTTTACAACATATGATTGGTCTACATTGTTGTTTAGGGCTGGTTGTCTTATTGACTGATGGAGATTTGAGTCGTCAGTGCCGCGAGAAACAACTACTCCGAGAGCTAATTGCCCCTACCGGCATTGAATTATACTCGCAACACCTAGTACAACAGCTAGGATCGTTTGTCAGTTTAACCCACCAGGCACAGACCGGTTTCGGACTTATTAGTCCTCATCGGTAGCATGGTTTTATGAGCCTTTATGGCCTACATAAAATATTAAAATTTAGAGTCGAAAAGGTAAATAACTGGGTACCCCTTTGGGGCTCTGTATCTCCTTTAAGGGGCACTTTAGGAAAAAAAATATGATAAACTAGTGTTATTTTGACCTCCCTTATACACTCCAAGAGTATGCGATATACTTACCAGACACCCTGTATTTAATTAGGACTTAAAAGATAATTTCCTAAAGTCTTAGTCTACCATTTTTTTCTCTAGATAGAAGCTTAAAAAAGATTAGGGATAAAGGTAATGTTATGTGAATTTCCCTCTACAGTGGAAAAAAATCAAGAATGTAACTTACAGTTCCATGAAATGCAATTAAATAAAAGTCAATTTGATGTTGACATCTAGATATATTATCTGTCATGTCACGACGCTATTAACAATAATAATAACCCACATTCTAAACGTACAACACAACAAAAAAAATGCTAACAAGATAAGACGTCAATTTCTTCAGCGCGTGAAATGTCCACGTAGTGTATAAAATGCATTTCGTTTTTACAGGAATATAAAGACAGTGTTTTGTTTTATCTCGGCGTTTCTCGTCCGCAAAGCGGCAATGATTTCGGCGAGCGTTTTTCCTCTGATGCATTTGTTTTCCTGCTCTATTTTCGTCTGGTTACCTTCTTCGGCTCTCCTCGCAGACTGTGACAAATGCGTCGCCATTTCTCATTGCCTGAAAGTAACTCTGTCGGTTTTCCTCGCTAAAGTCAGATCTTTCATTCACACATGAAGTGCCCAAAAAGGAATCGTTAAAGGCGTTTGAGTTTTTATTATGCTGGAGGGGGAGAAGGTCGCCTCTATTTACGGCTAAAGTCGCCCGATGGAGATCCTGGAATATTGGTTTTTTTTTTTTTGAAAAAACAACTCGCTGAATAAAAGTTCCATTAATTTTAAACGCTTTAAGTTTATAAAGTCCTAGCCACAGCAACAGTTTGTAGCATTACCATTTTTCTCGATTTCCATATTTGCCTTTCCTCCGCGGTTACACCTCAATCGATCTGCGTATGTTTAATGGAAAAGTATTTTGAAATAAATAAAGCATTAAATATGATGAGTTATAAATTGTCTCCTTACTTACAAATTTACACGGTGTTTTTTTTATTACAGAAAATCATTCTTAGGTACATATGTCCAGTAAAATGCTCCAGTAAAATATAAATAACATGGCTTTACAAAAATTATTCATCGAATAATACCTCT